ATACGTTCCTACATTGCAAAAGATAAAGTTATAACAATTATTTCGTTAAAAACTCTAAGTGAAGATATCACATACTTCCAAAGCGATAATATGGCTAATTGCAAATTCCGCTAATGGGATTGAAGCCTTTTCTACCACCAGCTTTGTTCTATGGAACAACCAAGAACGGTATAACCCGTCATACTTTAAATCCATGAAAAACGTCTCCATCCATTCGCCTAATTATCACAAATCTTAATTCAGTAACATACTGTAAATATAACAGCTTCTTTGTAAGCACATACCCATATTCAAAAATATACCGGCTTCAGCTGGACCACCTTTTCTTTGTAGTTGCATATTAATTGATTTGCGGGCTCGTAATTGTGTCTTCACAGTGTCTTTTTTCTGCTGGAGTGGAGTACATTTTAATGGTTTAATTTCCGAGTTGAGTATTGTGATATCGTCAACTACACAAGAAGATCGGGCCTTTTTCTTGACCCTGATGTAGCACGGTTCAGAACAAGTTTGTACTCCCTTAAGGGATTGAGGAAGAAGGGTTTAGTAATTGGGTAGAGAAACATGTAACAATGCTCTTCTTCCGTTATTTTTTCCATTGTTTTTGATGGGGACATTGATAAGCCATTATATCTATGCAATGTATCAAAGAAAGAACATTGTGAGCCACAAACTCGTAGATAATAAACAAAATATGATGAAACTTGCATACTTACAAATCATTGAAGGAGCACGCTACATCTCGACTTAGCTTCGTTTTCCCACCAATCATATAAACATCTTCACCGATAAAATTGTTGCAAATTGTTTCATGAAGGGACGTTGAAATTTCTTTTGAAAGAGGGGAGTTTTTAATAGTATATGGACTTGTTTTTATAACTTCTGCCCACTCTCGTTTTGTGAATATATTAGGGTATGGATTCGGCCATGTGAGAACAATGATTGAAGATAATGCTCTAAATGAAATGGTGAAAAATTTTTTTAATAAATCTTGATTTAATCGTTATAAATGGTATATTTCAGAATACCTACAGAAGTTCATAAATGTTTTTATAATCTAAACCTTCTCGTTCCGCCTTCTTAAGTATATCTTTTTGGTAGGTTCGAAATCTGTCTGTTACGTTAATATTATCGACCTCCCACTAAAAAAAATAAGACTGAGATATGCGAAATATAAAAACAAAATCCAACACATGACATACTTTAACCGCTGGTTCACGCTGTAATTCTCTTGAGATGTCATCAAGATTAAATTTTATCTCTTCATCGTTCTCGTCCTCAAGATCTTCGCTTGACTCAGCTATATCATCATTTTTGTCTTGTATGTTCACGCCTGAGCCAACGTACTCGTCAAACGAGACATCAAACGTTTTTGCCTGACCGTATTACAAAAAATGAAGCATTATCACGACGATCAATGAAGAACAATTAGTATTTACCTTCTTGTGGTCTGATGTAGAAATTGTATCAGAATAATCCAAACTATTTACCTCTCCTGCTTTTTCGGTATTAGTTTCTTGGAATTTATCGCTAGTTGTCAGCTCAGCGTCAACGATTGCTTCTTGTTGCAGGTTCATAGGGGGAACATTTCTTGGTCTCTTTGTTTGAGGAATTTCAAATTCACAAGGAAGCTAATCCACAGAACATATAAATAGGTTTTTTTTATTCACAGAAATATTGGGACAGTGGCCTACCTTTTCCACATGCTTCAGTGGAGTTACATCAACCGTTGTTTCCATTTCATCTTCTCTGAGATGTTTCCCAGTTACACGACGATTATCGATATTATCGATAGTCACAGTATTAGCGGTCGTGAGCACCTGCTGTTGTATCTAATCGAAGAAAAATGTTACTAAAGTTTTTTGTCAAGAAATTTTCAGGCTAGAATCTCACCTGGTTAAACTCGAACTTGATACCTGTATCACCGCTCATCTTTGTCCAATCCTTAATAAAAGAATGCAGAATTAGCAGTGCTTGCAAGAAACATTATACAATAAACATAAATACACAAGCAAAGAAAGCGTCGAACGAAGAGTTCATCACTGTGGACCAAGAGTCACAGCTTGCGCTTGCTTGAGCATCGAACGAAGAGTTCATAACTGTAGACCAGGAGTCACAGCTTTTCCCTAACTTGTAAATCTCTATCTTATTAAGAAAGAAGCATACTTTCCAGTTATCAACGATTCTTTGAGCCTGTCTCTTACGCGACGTGTCGAAGTCAGAGTTCTTTTCTTTCACCTTTTTGAGATCCTTCTTTATGTTATCTAACACTTTTTTCCGATCCTTTTGTCCTAAAGTATCACGATAAAACTCTATAAGCTTTTCACAAGTCCAGTCTTCAACTGCTCTACGTTTGTAAAAATCCATAGAGGAAAAATTAATTGCATCATAGGTGTGACCTATTACTATTAGACAGCCAGAAAAAATCACATGATCGTGCAACAAATCTGAAATGGACAAAAAATTTATTGATTTTATTGTTTCAGATACATAACGAATCAGAGGAGCAAGTAAAATATATGATGCTATTAAGGAGGGAGGGAGTACGCGGATCCTAGGCCATTTAATGCGAGTCCCAGCATCAAGTTATTTCTTTGCTCTCTTACATTTTTTACGAAAAGTATCTATAATTAATTTGTTTATACTTCTATTGCTAATTATGTGATTCTTACCCTCATAGCCTTTTATTATACTAGATTTCCGAAATAAATTATCCCACACATCTATATCTCTCCCAAACACACAGACTATATAAAACATTATTCCTCGAAAGAGAACTTTTCTAAGATTAAGAAATTTCGAACCTATAGCATAATTTCGGGAGTTAGCAACTGAGGTAAAAAAAATAATACAAGACAACATTACCGATCTACACTTACAATCACGATTCATTTTCACATAATTCCATTCCGGCTCATATATAAGAAATTTATTGCTTAATTTTTTCTGTGTTATCGCTGGTACGATAGTTTCAAGAATTCGGCACGTGAAGGTGCTTATATAAGGTAATTTTTTTGATGCACTGCGCCAGACTTTTGCTGTGCCGTTGCATGTGACGAGATTCATGTGAGTAATTTCACTGCGTCTATTGTACGCGTGATAATTGCCAACGGCAAAGATCAAAATGCCGATATATAACAAGTAGAGCAATATGTCCGTTTTATTTTGGAACATCTATAGCAGAAAATTGATTAAGATCGTGATGACATGTTTCAAGAAGCTAGCCGAGCAATAAACTAACTTACTTTATTATTTACTTTGCGGAATATACGGGTTCGTTTGATTGTAAATATTGATGATGCAAATAACGGCAGTTTTAAATTTTATTAATTTTATTAGAATTTTCGTTTGATTTTTCCTTGGTTCTTGCTTATACTCGCACAAGGCAGATAAAAAGATTTACTAACTAGGACATCACCTTTTTATACAATTTGCAGGATCGATCTTGGAACACACTTTTACGTATCGCGAAAATCTGATCAACTTAATTTAACAATAAAGAATTTAACACTATCCATATTTAAAGATCATCAAGGGGCCCTTCTTTAACAATATACGTAAGAATTTTGAGAACATGCGAGAATGTTTGAGAATAAAGTATTTGCGCAGTTAATTGTTCTCGTGATACATGTGACGTCTATTTCGGGTATTTGTCAAATTCTGGATCAATGATTTCGTCACAATAAAACTTGATCGAAAAAAAATACATTAGCATACACGCTTCCCACAATCCCATAATCTATTCCATTATGTGTCTATAATTTGCTTTATTGATCGTACGAAGAAAAATAAATAGTAATACAGATCGTAGCCTACCACATGATGTTGCTACTTAAACGAATTTCATATTCGATGCGCAGTTGCACACCTGTCACCACACCCATCACCCGCATGTAATATATTGGTTAAAAAGACGTTATTAAGTAAGCCCAAATGTGGGCAAAAATTTTATTAATATTTAAGTATACTTAAGTATATATTTAACTCTCACCCTCCGCATTATCCGATGGTTGTTAATCACTAGTTTTGTGTTACTGTCTTTTAACTGTAAATTACAAAACACAATGAAACTGCACGTAGGTACGAAAAAAAATATATTCTTCTTGTAAGCAACGGATTCAATTTTTCAGCTCTTTGCTTTAATCGCCTCAGTGAGATTATTGATTGCAGACGTTAAATTATTGATATCGTTTTTTATAGTTTTAACATCATCCTTGATAATTTCAATATCTTGAAGGACGTTTCCCATTTCAGAACTTAGTAAATATTTACTCTCAAGTTCTACACAATTTTGGATGCTATACTGCTTAGGATTCCCTGTTTTGCCAAACATGGCACTATTTCCTTTGTGTTCAAACGCATTTACTGATGAAGACGTAACGTGAACATGAAGATGACCATGGCAATCTTTTGCCTGTTTGTCTTTAGCCTCTGCTGCCTCCCAAGAACCAAAATTTAGAGCAAAAAGTTCTACAGGAAAAGCCCCTGTATCGTCACATATGTCTTTAATCAAATAAGTGGACAAGAAATAATCCAGAACCCATGTCCAAAATCCATTATCAATGATAAGTTCTCTGTTATTTTTATGATTTGTAGGCTGATAGCCTTCAGGCATTTTTAATGTTTCATGACCTGGAGCTGGGTGTGGACATATTAATATTTCACAAACATCATCTTGTTGTGATACAGCAATCCAACCATCTTTTTCTAAAATGATGCGCTCATTTTCAACGTACCAATTGCATAAACGTTCGTTGCAGATTTTTTGCGGGACCTTTTTTTCACAGAAAATTCTAGGTATACAAATACCAGATCTATGCTCTGAAATAATATTATGGTTATCATTTTGATGACGGAAGCAATGAGTATTTTGGTAAAAGAACTTACTTTTATCCCGATCACGTCTCAGACTTGGTGTAAATAGTGGACTAGAATTATTTTTGTCATCTTTATCTTTTATGTCCTTCGTTTTTTCTGTAAGAGAATTCTGTTTCTTATGATTGCCATGTTTCCGTCCCTTACCACGTATTAGACTTGGCGTTAGTGGTGGGAATATCAAACTAGAACTATTTTTGTCATCATCATTTTTTAAAAACAAGCAATCCGCATGCCATGTACAATATGTGTAGGAAGGAATAGAAACTTCCAGAGAAGCAGATGGAGGCAACGGAGGAATATTGTTGTTTCTGATTTTGTCAACGTATTTTCTAGCTTTTTTTGTAGCTGTTTTTTTGTCTAATTTATGGCAAAGATATTTAAACCAAACAGTTGACTCGACTTGTAAGAAGTAATCCCATTCATAACATAGATTTTCTTGTTGTGAACGAAGTAGAGAGTCTTTGAAACCAGAAAACTCTTCGCATTTTTAATAATTTTCTTGGCTAATAGGAATGATTTCAACACGAAAAGTTTTAAAACTGAGACTTTTTGCGATAAAATCTAAGCATTGTTGTTCCATTTTAACTAATTTCTTCGCAAAATCATTGGGAAGATTTTAATATTGAACGATCTGATTTTAACCACAGGGTTTACTTCCAGATTTTTAAAATCAAAACGTTTACTATCCGTAGTTTCTTCCATGAATAAAATTGCAGTCGTCAGATACAATACTTTTTCTGTTTCAGACAACTTTGGTGTTCTGCTTAATGGGATGATCAGTTTAAAATAGGGAAACTATTATCCTCAAGAATTTTTTTGAAACACCAAAAATGGAAGTTCATACCCCTATTTCACTAATTTCTATTCAAAAACGGATTAATGTATTATTAGCCATACACATAATTTGAATGCGCTAAACATCAGTAATAATAAAAATATACCGTTTATCTGAGGATCTGTAAATCTTGGATTCTAATCGCTCTATTTCCATTTTTGAATTTCTTTTTAACAATGCCTCTGTCTTACGATCTGTAAAATCTAAATCAGGGATGTGATTTTTATTAATAATTCAGAACTGCGTAATAAGTGATATAGAACATACCAGAACTTTAGGGAAAGTTCATCACTATAGCAACACGCTCTTTTGACACGTTGCAGATTAAAAGTCTTTCATTAGCTTGGCTGGGTTTATTAATATATCCTCTAAAAATGATGACCGTGGATGCCAGTGACGTTTACTGCGTATAGCATATTCTGCGGATATAATTCACATGAACCAGTGACATATTATTGCGGTGTTGTAGAATTAAGAGACGTCAATACCGTATTTCGCTAGTCTTAGAATCATTAAGGTCAAATAGATCAGGTTATCATAAATTCAGAAAAAGAAAGGGTTAGTTTGGAAAAAACTTTCAAGAAACGCAAACTACGCAAAATGCTTTTATTGGTCAATATTACTACAGTATTATTTCTCACGTGATTCAAAAAATTCATGACGAACGTCCTTTTAATAACACTTTCAGCTTGAATTATACAAATTTTGTGAGGGATTTTATTAAATGGTGCCCCCAATCTGCTTTGAATTTCAGCCTCGAGTTCGCTAGAACCTTCATGTTTACGAACTACAATTGCTTGTATTACTTTAATATCCAGAATATTCATAAGTTTTCCTATAGGAATAATAAAACAATTGAGAGTGATGGTGTCATCAGCCATTTTCGATTCCTAAATACAAGAGCCATAGTGAGAAAACTGCTCCCATACATACATAATTTATGACATATACATACCTTATTTTGTGTTATGTTTCTAGGAATTTTTTTGAGGAATGTTGGCTGAACTTCCACATACCACTATATGCTTTATATCTTGCTGGGGGAAGAATAAGGAGGTATGAGGCGTAATTAGTATTGTTGTATGATGTCAAGAGTTCTATGAAAGCACATGCAAAAAGAATCCTCATACCTTTTCACATGGAGATCTACCGGAGAGACGCAAAGGTAGTTAGTTCTTGTAGATCTCAAAATTACAAAGTCCTTAGCCCTTCATATTATATGCTTTTGCCGTCAGTATTTACTTTTACAGTAGGTCCTATGTTGAAACTAGACCTCCTTTCACATTTTCTCACATTTGTTTGAGAAAAAAATAGAGGGACTTAATCAGCATATATATTTTCCTTTCGTTATATGCAAAAATTAATATGTTGCACAAGACCTGACTAATGATCTACTTATTTTATATTACACAATCTATGGCTCAGCAAATTCTTCTGAGCTGGTGATCACCGCTTCGGTTGATAATTAGTATTTCAGACACAAATTTAAATATATGCTAGCTAGAGATAAACACAATTATGACAAGTAATACTAATAATATTTCTGATCAAGTCAATGCTCAAATTCAAGAAAATTTTGAATTGCGCTTATATGAAGACCCATATGAAGAGCTTTTATATAAAATACTTTTATATAAGAAGAAAGATATAATAGTTATTCAGGAAAAACTAGGTATGACGATGGTCCCAAAGGGACCCCTATCTATTAATGACAATACAAATCAAATAGCATTGAATTAAAGCAAGAAAGGAAAAATACTTAAAGATTCATTTGGGCTGTTATTTGATTTGGTGGAGGAATTAAAACTGATACTGGAAAAAATCTATATCTGTGGTCACCCTATCCTTACAATATTACATTAAAATATGCAAGATCTTATGGATGTAACATTTAAGGAAATGTCACTTGGAGAAATTTATCATTTACTTTTATATTTGAAATGGGATATAAGCACAATTCAAGATTATCTTGGTATTGTTGGTTATACTAATCGAGAAATAAGTGAATTAGAAGCCAATAAAAATGCAATAGCATATCTTTATATGATCAGATTTTCCTCTAGAAAAAAGTTCAGATGAGTTAATATCAATAGGAGGTAAAATGTTTTGTTTTATTGAGAGGGCTTTCGTTAATTCTGAAGGTCTTCTCTCAACAATTGCATGAAGTTTTGTAAAAAATTTGGCTGGCACAAACCAGTGCCCATGTCTAGAACAGGTTAGCTAATCTATATTTTTTGTCGCACAGGAATACATGCATGTGGCTCAGCAAAAATCTTTCAAGTTGGTGATCACTCCTCCAGACTGGCTGGCTTAGAATAATCATCTTTTTGCGCAAACTCTAGCTCTCATACCAATCTATCTAATGTCAATTTAAGACCAATTATATAGACTTCTTATTGAAGTTCAGACGCAACCCTTGCAAAAAACACTTTTTTAATATTTTTATTCATATCTTCTATATCATCATCTAAACTTTCCATATTATGCAAATTGCTAGTAAACCCCATACTTTGTTATAGGAGCCTATATCCTTAATTGAAAAAATAATATTAATGTATGCATAGTGACTTCTCTACCCGCTTGCTCATACGTCAGAAAAAAAATATATAATATTCATGTTAATGCTGTAACTTGTCTTCCCTATATATTCACCATTCACTAGTCTAGCTTATAAAAAAGCTTTGCCAGAAGACAGTTAGATTGACATTGCTCTAAGCATTTATTCTATTTCATCATCTGATCTTTTGCGATTCTCCTCTTTAGCTATATGATAATAAAGTTCGTATAATTCCTCTAGGCTGGTACACAGATCATTATCTGCATATCTTTTATGATAATTTTCTAACTTTAGAGTGTATGCCTCTTCATTAGGAAACATCTTGACTGCAACTGTCTTAATATAGTCATTTGGATTCTTTTCAGCTCGCAATTTCTTTAGATAGTCTCCATAGTTTTTTGCAAGATTATCAATTTTTTGTACTTTCGCAATGCAATTTTTATGACTTTGACTTGCGCAAGTTCTATATCCTTATGATCGACCAATTTTGTAATGTTTCTACTATAACGATAGAAAAACTTTAATTAATAAATATATTCTTTAGAATTTTTTTATCTGAAAAAAATATTTGTTATAAATCATCTATGTCTTGATACGAAGTTTAGCTTTCATAGCCCTTTCTTCTGCTTCTTCAAGAGATATTTCAGATGCTATCAGGCGTTTATATAGTCCAATTCGCCAATGTCCATAGGAGAGAGTTCAAATCTTATCAAATAAGATCCAACGCTTGTTATCATATGGATTCAACCCTATCTTATTTACCCTCTTCAGATATATTTGATGATCATAACTGCGTAGACCATACATATCATGCCAGATTAGTCTCTTGTTCTTAAGATATTCTAGAAATTTGTCATGTCAAAGTTTCCTTTTGACCATGCATTTCTTTACACCTTTTGCCTTTTGGATGCCATGCTTTTTCTCCCAATACTTTATACCCTGAGATTTTCTAAATTCTTCTTCTTCTAACTCTTTTTCGAAATCTGCATCTGTTTCAGGAGTTTTAGAATCATGGCCTACTGAAAGAACTGAATACATTTTTGGCTTTAAGCATACTGATTCACCTATTGGATCCCCTTTTGTCTCATCCTTCATTAGAAACAAGTCTCCTAAATAGTTAAGATCGAAAATGTTTGGTCTTTTTGCTCGATCTTTATATATGTCTTCAGTTTCTATTCACATTATGAGCGAGTCTGTATCTGTATAAAGTAGATGGGCCTTATCTTCATAGTGAGGCTTTATGTAACTGTATCAAAAGTTGAACATTATAGCCTTGCTAATGTTGAGAAATGCCTGCCCAACATAGATTGGTTTGTTTAGAGTTACTGTACTTTTTAACATATGGACTGCTGTAATTTTCCCTTCGAATGCTTTAAAGCTTACATATAATGGTGAACTTGCTAGGCGTCTGATTTTTTATCCTCTTCTGTTTAGAGTAATTCTACTCTCATATGTTTACGAACATTTTCCATTTGTTTACCAAAGACTGCATTGTTCTTTAGCTTATAATACATGACCCTAAACTCATTCCCATTAGCTTTAGCAATTTTACGCTTGCGAATATTTTCCTCAATATAGTCTTTCATCCATAGAGACTACCGAAATTTAAGAGCATCATGAATCTTTGTAACCTTCATCCTGAACTTCATATATATCTGAAGAGCTCGATAGTGAATTACATAATTCTTCTTAGTAAAGAGAGTCTGGACTAATTTCTCTTCAGACACATATTTTCCATTTCCAACTTCTTTATCTTTCACTAATCTTTCATTATATAGACTAAGCCAGTTTTCTGGAACTATCTACTTTTCGGATGCTAATGGATAATCTGTAAAGAAATCATGCAAGTGCACTGGGGCTTCTAGATCAACTTCTAGTGTATAGCCTATTTTTGCATCTGGTGCTATGCTTTGGATATCTGGTATTTTCTCTAGTGCTACTTTACCTAAAATTTCTGTAGGCATGTATTGGGTTATTGCACCTGAATATAAAGCATTCATATTCTCATACATGATCCAGGAATTCAGCTTGCTAGACTCATAGTCTGGACATTGTGAATTATTTACTTTGGCGTATCGATGACTTGTCATTGTCATGCCTTCACGAATACCATTTTCTACCGTTAGATATTCATTCATATTTGTCATAAGTTTGAGTTCTGCCTCGCTACTTTTGTAAAGAGAATCATTAAATATTCCAGGTGCTAAGACGTAGTAGGAAGGGTCTAAACCATCATCTTGCAGACACATGATGGTATAGTTCATAAATACATCAGCTAGTAAGAGTACGTCTATCTCAAGGTAAAAATCATGATAGTCTTTAAAGCTCTGCATCTCGAATATTTACCATATTTTTTGTGCATATTTGTAATCCTCATTGCTTATATTTTGTTGACTAAGAATTGAATAGAAGTCCTTTCTAGGCGGAAGGCTTGTTCTGTCGAATTTTTCCCATACATTTGTCCAGTCGTATAGGAAAACACCCTTTCGAAAAAGAAGCTTATCTATTGAATAGCCTTTTTCAGTAAAGTACCTAACAGTTAAGGGGAATTTTTCAAGCTTTCCTCCTAGACATTCTACTAATTTATCTAATCCCATTCCCATATGCTGAAAGCTATCAAGAAATTGGAGCTGGCCAACATCCATAGCTTTGTACTTTCCTATATTCTCTGGGATGCAATTTAGCTTATTAACCGTGAACTTGCTCACAACTTTCATAAGCGGATGAGAGTCATATCCCTGGAAATTATGACATATAAGAGGCACTTTGGTTTCGAAAGATCCTATTCGCAATTTTTTGTTACAAGAGTCATGAGCTGGGCCTCGGTACTTTCCATTTATATGATCATGATCTTTTACTTTTCGATTAAGTGCACTTAAAGCTTCTCGGTATCTTTTCTGTGCCTCTTTCTTTTTAGGATGTTCTTTTTCCATGCATGTTTCCCATTCTTTGATTTCTAATAAATTATGCTTTGCTTCTTCGAGTTTTTGTACTATCTCTGGTGCTGGTTTTAAAAAAGGTCCCTTGCAAATCCAGCATTCTGTCGCCTCATTGTATGCTTTAAGATTTCCTGGTGCCATTATCATTTCTGCAGGCGCAGATAAGTCCTCCTGTATGTTTGCCAGCTCCTCCTCGATTTTTGTAATGAATCTTTCAAGCGCATCTGGACCCCTATATAAATCATGACTTATGATTTCATAGTTGAGTGAACTATTCATACAAACAACTACATAGCAATAGCCACACGACTTATGCATCTGTAATCTTTCGGTATGGGTTAACTTCGTCTTCTCTTCGGGGGTTAACTTTTCAGTTAACATTTCTAGATCTCAGAAAATGCGATATGGATTTGGTTGCATGCATTTATGGTTATAAAAAGCTTTGATACTCCTATTTTTAACTGGCATTTGTGATCGCTGGAGGCATTATTTAGACCCTTGCATTTTGGCAAATGTTCATTATATCTTATCTCTGAAGAGTATACATGAAGACAATAACGACAAATGTATTTTCGCCCTTTATGTTTGCTATGATTGTATACCAGCTTATGTAAATCTTTGATAATGCAGTAATGGCTTCTATCATCTTCTGTAATTACTAGAAGATTTACTTGCTTGTATTTATTCCCTCTTCTTTCTGAAACATAGCGAAATTCAAGACACTCATTCTGGTTGTGCCATTCATAGACACATAGACTGATTTCAGGGTTATTTTCTTCAAACTTTTTATAAACTGGTGTTGAAACCGGTACTGGAATTGGGATGTCATCCATATTAAGTTCCTCCACGAAACCTCCATATAGCCGATGCGGATTTCTTTCTGGATGAACTTTAACTGGACGCAAAGCTCCTAGGACACACCATCCGAAACACCAGTCATCATTATTTTGAATATTAATAATTCCGTTATTACGTTTTGGCATAGTTTCAGGTAAAGGTATATAGGCAGTAGGACCAATTGGATTGAAATCAGCTATCTCTATACTTATTTCTTCGATATAATCAAGATACGCATCTGACATTTGGTATATAGTTAGCTCTTACTGTCGCACTATTACTTGCTTATAAAATCTTTTCTTTAATTAATTAATTCCTATACATATTAAAATGATCGGTAAATATTCGTGCCAATATCTCAGCAACTCCGGAAAGGCTTGTAGGAGAGCTTGTATTAGACCTGAAGGGTGTCAATTCCATTGGAAAGCTAAAAAACGAGTATCTTGCTCTGATTGTGGTAAGCCGACTGCTTCTGCTTGCGAATGATGTCTAGCACATATCAAAGGGTACTATGTAGTCCAATACTATCAGAGGCTTTGTGATAAAGCCCACCTTCAGTCATAAACTTATTTAATCGATATGCCATTTAACAGGCTAACACATCCTGAAATAGATCTTGATATACATTTTTGTATGATTTATTCTGGAGAATTGGGACAATTTCGTTAGACTTATTTAATCAATATGCCATTTAATGAGTTAACACACCCTGAAATATATCTTGGTATATATATTTTTTCGTATGATTTATCTTACAGAATGGCATATTCTAGGGAAATTGGGACAGAAATTTCATATAACATTTTTTATTATATTTTCAGAGCTCTGAAAGCCATTAAACATAATTTCTGATATACATTTTTCGTATGATTTATTATTGAGGAATTGGGACAAAAATTTTTCGTATAACTTATTATAGGGAATTGGGACAAAAATCTTTATTATATTCCCTAACCTCCGAGAGTCATTAATCATAATTCCTGATATATATTTTTATATGATTTATTATGGGGAGTTAGGACAAAAATTTTTTCATGACTTATTTTGCAAATTTTCGTATAACTTATTTTTTCATATGACTTATTATGGGGAGTTGGGACAAATTTTCGTATGACTTATTTTTAGTATGATTTATTTGAGGTAATTGGAACAAAAAAATCTTTATTATATTTCCTGACCTTCAAAAGCTAATAAATATACTTCCTGTTATACATTTTTCATATGACTTATTTCGTATGACTTATTTTTCGTATGACTTATTTTTGAGGGAATTGGGACTAAAATTTTTTCGTATGACTTATTTTGTATGACTTATTATTAAAATATGCTATTTAATGAGCTAGCTTGCATAGAATTCCTTCCTGATATATTGATTTTTCGTATGACTAAATAAATATAACTAAAAGATGATATAGAAATTAAGATTCTAGAGCTGTTAGAAGCCTTTTCTGATATATAATAAAAAATCAATATGCTTTCTGAGGTTGGAGAGCCCATACACACAATGTTTCAGTGGGGAACGGACCTTTCGGTTCTTAAACCCCCACTTTCATATTGTGTCAGGAAGTTATCAAATATACAAAGATATTAACCCAAGTATTTAGACTAAACGAGCAAAATGCAGAAGTATATAATGCACTTTTCAGAGAAAATAGGGCATTAAAGAAACAATTAGAAGATCTAGATGAATGTATAGATAGGAAAACTGAGGTCGATTTAGCATCAAAGAATTTGGAAGTGCCTAGCCCAAAGGAAAGATCAGAAGAAAAATGCATATAATAAAAATAAGGCTAATTAGCTATCGGATAAATGCGAGTCTAGAGCGAGGTTTAATTTTATATTTGAATATTATATATACTATAATAAAATAGTATTCGTGAATTATGCAGTTGAAGAAAAAATCCCTATTGAGGCATCAATTGATATGTCTACTGATGTAAATTGTATTAGCCAAAAATATATTGGTGAATTAGGAATTACATATCACAGTGAAAGCAATAGAATTGTAACTCCAGATACATCCTATTTCACATTAAAAAAGGTTAATCTACATATTGGTTTTGAAAATGGTGAGAAGCATAAAAGCACACCCATTGAATTCATAGGTTCCTGGATCAGATTGGCCTGATTATCTTCCTGACTTAATATTGAGTGAGCCATGATTTTGAGAAAATGATGCAACTTTAGATATATGCAATTCAAAACTATTACTAGACGATAATTTTGCAATCCTATTCAAAGAAGTAAAAATGAACCTAATGCAGAATAATGATTATCCAAAGCAGTGATCATCAATATGCGTAATTTTTTTTCGTTTAAAGATACAATGTATAATACAGATTATTTATGATGCAATCAAGCATCTTTTATTTACTAGAACTATTAGAACAGATTTATATTTCTTATTAATAAATAAGTTATTCTATTCCACTTTATTTGTATTCTAATTATAGTACAGATGTGATGCTTCTATTTTATGGAAACACGTTAAGCTAAAGGAAAAAGACTTATATTCTGGATAATCTCTTCTAAATGATTATAATTACTATGCAAAGGATTGTCTTCGATTAAATAAATTCATAAGGATAGAACGTGCAAAGGATCTCTCTCAATTGAAAAAATTCATAAAACTAGTATGTAAAAAGCAAACACCAATTTATTGCTCTAATGTATCTCATCTTGAAATTTCATACTACTATTTACTTTTAAATAAAAAAATCATAAGCATTGTACATTCATGCCCAAATATAACTTATTTGAGTTTTATAAATAGCATAAGATTTAGTAATAGGGTATTAGAACTGATAGCAAGTTCATATCTGAATCTGAAGTATCTCAATCTGTGCAATGATCAGTAGGTGGCTTTAGAAGCTTTCGTACTCAAGAAATATATAATCTAGGTCTATAGAAAATCACAAATTTATACTATAGATTAGAATATCTAAACATTTCTAGACACATAGAATTTTCTTAAACATCAATTTATAATATTATTCACTTTTGCCCAAGACTTTAGCATCTCAACCTTAGTTTTTGTAAAATTACTGATATAACTATTAAATTAAAGAAATTTCTGATTCATGTTTTAATTTAAAGTATCTTAATTTGGAAGGGTGTAATAATATTAGCAAAGAAGCTGTAGATCAGCTTATTTCACTTAATCCAAATACCTATATCACGAATTTTGTGAAAATTTTAATGCTTCCTGATATTATTAGAATATTTAATAATCAAATTTTAGCTCAAAATCTTCAGAGTTTTTTAGATCTAACTATATGAGATAGTCAGAATTTGGCCTTACATCAGATATACAGGCAACCTAATTTCAATACAATTGCGATACTTTTAGATGACGTATTAGCTGATCAATCTAGCTAGTCCAAAGCAGTGATCATTAGCTTTGTATTGCTCAGTATATTATATTTCACATTTTTTTGTTTGAAGATAAAAGAAAACCAACCAATCAAGCAGAATTCTAGTACTCTATTGATTTAACTAATCTGGATCAGTTATCAGCTCAGAAGATTTTTTGCATTATAAGCAGATCACGTAAAATTTTCTTAGCATTTTTTTGAGATTGCGCGATCTCAGAAATCTGGTAACTTTATAAATTTCTCTTGGTAAAATATCAGTCTCTATGTATATATACTAACTAACTTTTAAATATTTCAACTCTTATATAAAATTTATTAATCATGTCATCTGAGCTTGAATTATTGAAACAGTGTATCGTTAAACTTGAGGCTAAGAATGCTAAGCTTAAGGTAGAAAAAGCTAAACTTTTAAAGTGAACTGTGAAAAAGAATACTAGGCATGATGTTAGAGTTAAGGAACTGGAGCAAAAAAATAAAAAGCTTGAAATCAGACTTGCGATAATAAAATAGGCTTCCTTATCAATGAAAAAGTAGTCGTATAATGATAATTCTTCTTCTAACTTTAATTCAGTTACAGAGTATCATGAGAAACTATTGGTGAATGTGGAAACAGATAATTCTCCTGAAGAGGTTTACTATAATAAACAAGAACTGGTGGCAACGATATCTGCTAACTCTATGAAGTACCTTAACGGCAAACCGTTGGAAGAGAAAGATATAAATAGTTTTTGCTTAAGGCTTATAAGAAAATTGTTAGTAGTGAAATAAATCAACGCAATAAGGAAAAGAAGAATAAAAAAAATAGGCAGGAATTGATTCAAGAAATCTCTTCATCTGTACTCAAAGAAAATCATGTGACTAAAATTTCTGAGACCGCGTAGTCCCAGAAATCTGATAATTTAGATGCATTAGTGTTTTCATTTCATGAGACTAGTATGTTAGAGATATCTCAGCATTTAGTCCAGTTATGTGATAAAACGCTTATTGCAGAAGAGCACAGATTGGAAACAAATTAAGAAGAAATATTATGCTGGTATCACTATGAAAGAAATTTCGTATTTCATTTGGAAGCCTTATGTGATAAAAATAAAATTAGCAAAAAAAAGGCAAGAGGTCTAATATATGATGAAATCGTGAAGCAAATTAATATCCTTCATAAGAAAAGATCTCAAGATACAGGAGTACCACTCTCAGATATAATAAAAGATGGTTTGCGCAAAAAACTCAGAGAGCTGAGAAGATTTACAAGCTTCTCGAAAAAATAGGATTGGATAAAATTCAGTATATCAAGTCGTATAGTGCGAATGAAATATCAAAGTTTTCTAATGATGAAATTCAAAAGATTATGGATCATTTCTCGTCAGAAATACAAGCGAATCTCTTAGTTTCAGCAGAGATAAATAAATTAACAGCACCTATTCCTTTAACCTATAACTCTAACTCTTCTGATGATTCCAAAGAAATCAGCCCAAGCATTTCACTTAAAGCTGAGAACGATTTTTACAAAATGCTCTTAGAAGATTGTGTGAAGGATTGTGTGTATTTTGATAAGGAAATTGATTCTACATCCCAGTCAGTGAAAAAATGAATAAAGAAGCTGTTTCACAATCAGGGAGAGAAACAAATGAAAGTAAGTTAGACAATGACTCTGATTCTGATGATTCTGAAGAAGAGATGTCAGATGAATCGGACGATGATAGGTATAATGGATACGGTGAATATAATGAATATGGTGGTTACGATAGAGGTTATTATTATCATGATGAAAGATACAAAAGAAAAATTTCACCAATAATGAGTCCCATTATATCTTCAGTATCTAGCCTCTTCGGTCAAGATCTTCAGGAGATAGCATATCTTGATAGGTTATCTTTTTTCAAATAAATATAAGAAAAAAGGCTGGATCAAGATCAGCAAATTAATAGACATCAGAGTCACTATATTTGTTTCATGATTTGTGATATAAGGATTCCTCCTATTCATCTGTGATTGATCTAGGCGCTAATGTAAATTATATTAGTAAAGAAGCCCTAAAGCAGAATAAGGGTTCTTCCTATTCATCTGACTCTTCTGAAGAATCTGATTTGGTTGAGATAATTGAGGTAAAAGGCTGTCCCTCATAAGTAATGAAGGAGGACGCGATCAAGAAAGGTTAAGTGAATAGTAGTTTGAAGTGGATTGAATCAGATACTTTGCATATTTTTTTAGTCAAAGTTATTAAGTTTAATAGATCTTCCTTTAGATGAACTAGTAGGGTTAAACTTGAAGCGTCCTTCTTTCTTAAACGGATTAGAGTTTGATGCTTTTTTTTCAAAAATATTGAGGTGCAAGGGACTCAGTATTAGTTTCATAGCATTAGCTGATACAAAGATGTCAAAAAACTCAAAGATATCATTAATCGTAATCAGTGAAAATGATGTATATATCAAGATAATGAAATATACCTTCTTGAAGTATGATACGACAAAAAATCAGAAATCGTTATTCCTAATAAGATGCAAAAAATTAAGGAGTTCATTTGTTTAGCATCCAAAAGTTTGATCTCTTATATCCACAGGTATAAGTAATTGAATCACAGGAATAATCTGCCAGGAATTATCTATTCAATAATTATCAAGATCCCAACCTTTCATGGGATCGGCTAACGTATCCAAGAATGCATTATGTTCTTTCATCCTAAATGCATTAGATCTAGAGAATGCATCAAATAATCTATTTTTTTCTTGATCAGATATATCTGGAAGATGTCTGGTAAATTCTATGAGTACTGCTCCCTAACATCCACAGTGAATAAAAAAAGTTTTGCCAGAGATATTCTCAAAATTTATATATTTTCGCAATGCTTCTATTTTTAGATCCATATGTGCTATTTTTGTAATAATGATTAATATATGCTATTTTGTATTAATGAAGATAAGATCTTATGAAATGCCATCGATCAATAAAAAATTATTCAGTGATATATGTTATGCGTAATACCTAATAATACGTTATTATTATACTTCTTTACAGTAACTACATATATAATATTTTAAGTGTTATATGATACCGCTCCCTCTGGGTTTAGTGTCAAGTAATTCTTTACGCATATACTATTGTAAGTGTCATATAATATTACTCCCTCTGGAATCATTGTCAAGTGATTTACTACATACACTACCCTCAGAAAAGTATCCGGTCAACTAAAATAATATTTTATTTATTTGAGATTTTCGATATAAATAAAACATTTAATATATTTAATATTTAGTAGGCCATCCTTAGCTTCTAATGCATGCTTCAATTCTATGTAATATGCTTTCTATAAGTTTAATATAGGTTTCAGATGGAATTTTTCTCTATTCTTCTTGCAATATTTCCTCAAATTCACAAAGATTTTTTGGCATTACTAGAATTAGCATGTCGAGTGATTATATCTGTAACAGTGCTTTATGGAATCATTAAAGATGAGCAATAGCTTCATGGGTTCTTTCAGCTATCCATAAACCGATTATTTTTTCACGTTCAAACTCATTTAATTCGCGACTTTTTCTAATATCGAATAGTGCAGTTTTAAAAAAAGAGAAATGTTTACGTTTTTGTTTATTAAAACTGATCTACATATTATTACACAAATATAAACATATGTACTTAATCGTCAGAACCAGGAGATTTATTTAAAAAAAAAATTTTATTTAGTTAATATATCCGATCTTGAGAAATTTAAAAAAAGCTTGACCAGATACTTTTTGAAAGATAGTATATATACCATTGCGAGTGTCATATAATATTGCTCTCTTGAGGCTAAGTGTCAAGTGACTCTTTATACGTATACTTGTTATAATACTGCTTCTTTTAGGTCAAAGACCTATAAAATTCTTTTGATTTGAGCCACAATTTATTTCAATTTGACCAAAATTGATAGCTAAAATTATAATGATATTGGCAAAATCATATGTTTAGATAATTAATAGCCAATCATTTTCTGATCATATGATAAAAATTATATCCAAAAATTTTGATCTTTGAAAAAATAAAAATAAATCAGATCATTTATTAAATATGTTTGGCTAATGCCTACATATAAAAATAAAACAGATCATATATTAGAATCTATGTAAATATATTTGAGCTAATACCTACATCAAAAAATAAATTAGAGGCGTGATCATTTTTTAGAATCTATATATATGTAAATATGCACAGTATCAGTCAATAATATTATTCAATTAGTCTGCATTGGTATCCCCTCCTCATTTAGATCTAAATCATCAAATTGATCTTCAAGCTAATTTGATCAAGAAGAATTCGCTCTAACCCTTTCTTGAATTATCTTTATTTCTTTATCAGTAAATTTTTCAAAAGATAATGATGAAATTCTCCTAATTTGCCATGCATCATCATCCTCATCAAGATAAATAGATCGTTGACAATAAGGACATGTTGTATATTTTTTTAAGGAAATAATAATACATCTAAGATGGAAGCTATGAAGACAGAACAATCTCATGACTGGTTTCAGGTTAGCTCCATCAAGTTTAAATAATAGATATTCATTACAGAAAGAACATGTTTTGGATCCCTTGAGCAAATTCCCTTTGAGAATTGATAGGTGTAGTGTAATGTTCTGTAAAATCAGATCAGATCAGATTTATCTAAATCTGATCTGATCTGATTTTCATTTTTCAGGATCTGAATCCAATCCAAATCTGATGGATCCGTTAAAATCCAGATCTGATCTGAATCTGACAGATTGAATCTCAAATCCAAATCTGATGGATTGGTTTAAATCCAAATCCGATCTGATCTGAATCTGAAAGCTTTATTGAAAAAATGAATTTTCAGTTCTAAATGAGATCTAAAAATGTATCTTTTCAATGAAAGGAATCTTTTCAGCTCTAAAAGAGTTTCGAAAAGTCATTTCTTTTCATTAAAAGGAACCTTTTTGGCTCTAAAAGAGATCTGAAAATTGGTTCCTTTTCAATAAAAGGAACTTTTCAGTTCTAAAAGAGATCTGAAAATAAATTCCTTTTCAATGAAAGGAACTTTTCAGCTCTAAAAAAGTCCAAAAATTCATTCTTTTCGATGAAAAAAACAAATTTTCAGATCTAAAAGTATCCGAAAATTCATTCCCTTTCAATAAAAGGAACTTTTAGCTCTAAAAGAGATCTGAAAATTGGTTCCTTTTCAATGAAAGGAACTTTTCGGCTCTAAAAGAGATCTGAAAATTGGTTCCTTTTCAATAAAAGGAACTTTTCAGCTCTAAAAGAGATCTGAAAATTAATTTCTTTTCAATGAAAGAAACTTTTCAGTTCTAAAAAAGATCCGAAAATTCGTTCCTTTTCAATGAAAGGAAACAAATATTCAGCTTTAAAGAAGTCTGAAAATTTGTTTCTTTTCATTGAAAAGGAACTTTTCAACTTTAAAAAAGTTGAATTCAGATCCGACAGATCAGATCCGAATCTGAATCTGAATCTGATAGATCAGATCTAAATCTGAATCCAAATCTGACAGATTAGATCTGAATCTGACAGATCAGATCTAAATCTGAATCCAAATCTGACAGATCAGATCTGAATCTGAATCTGAATCTGACGGATCAGATCTGAATCCAAATCTGAATTTGACGGATCAAATCCGAATCTAAATCTGAATCTGACAGATCTGATCTGATCCAAATCTGAATCTGAATTAGATTTGAATCTGACAGATCTGATCCGAATCTGATCTGTCAGATTCAGATTGGATTTGGATTGATCCGAATCCATGTAGAACACTAGTGCAGTGAGTTGAATAGTATGATAAGAGATACTTCCGTCAGATATATCCTTATCAAATACTTCTTCTTCAATGGCCAATGGAGGGATATTATTAGATCTTTCTGATTCTATTAGTATTTTTTGAGATGCAATTTATGGGAAAAATATTATTATGAATGAAAAGAAGGAGTTTTTATACTTTCTGAATACTTTACTCATAATCGCAAAATTGTAACATGCACATATTTTTTTTTGATCAAAGTTAATATATCTAGCTAATTTTCCAGATAATAAAAATTTTTCTTGGCAATTTTTTGAGACCGCCAGTCTCGCAAATTCGTGGGTAAGTCATGGTAATTTACTAATAAAATAAGTCATTAGTTGCGCTGAATTTTTTTCATGTTTTAATATATTTAAGATATGTATAGTTATCCTTTTACAAATAAAAATAGCGTATATACTTATCATATAGTTTTTAACTTGTGTACATCTATCAAATAAATAAATAGTGCACTCTGCTTTCTATTATTACATATTATTTTACAAAAATAATCATATATATAACTGTATAAACTGTATGGTATTATTAGTTTTAGCAATTAAAAAAAATAAATACTGTGCTATGAATTACAGTATGACATTTCTTTTTTAGTCTGATTGGCTGATCATCTCATGATTTATCAAAACTCACCAGCACCTGAAACACTCCTAGAACTATCAAAGAATTAGCAGGAAGCTCGCATGTGATACGCTTTCTTGTTCATAGAACTTCGGGGTGGATGAAATTCAAGCTTTTCTCCTGAAGATCATTGATCGAAAGAGGCTGAATCAAAAAAATCTGAATAAAAATGAATTTGATATTTATTAGAGTATAATATTGATAAATTAGCTAAAATTGATAAAAACACTATAAGTTAATAAATTTTTATAATTTGCTTCAATTCACTATAATTCACTAAATTACTAATTTATTAATTATACCTGGTATAACAGTTAAGATCATATTAGATAAGATTTATAATAAAACTATACCTAAACCTATCAATCTCCATCCTGGATATGATATGAAATATGTTTTTAACTATTGACCTCAAACTGATAACTATCAATATGAAAAAGTGGTTGAAATAGAAAAACAATATGATTATTTATCCATTATTAGACCTTATAAAACACCTTAGAAATAGGCTGTTCGTATAAGGACTCCTTTACAAGAACTACTTTTTAAGCAAAAATATAGTTTTTATTATGTATACTGCCTTTTCAGTTCATTTGGGCAAGTAGAATTTAAAACATACTATATTAATGATGAGTTATATAAAGATCACTTCCAATATTGTAAACCTAGTATTCATAAAAGTCAAATGGCTATTTGCTTCAAATGCTGGAAATTGGTGAAGATTACCAAAGTAGAGCCTAAAAAGGAATATCATAGTGGCTGGGGGAATAGGTTTATGAAGTTGAGTCTGAAGATTTAATGAAAAATCATTGGAATTACTTTTGCTTTAAGGCCAAATCCGCAACTATAGTAAAAAATACTATGGCAAGTGCTTCTGTTACTTCTGATAATTAAGAAATGATTTCATCAACCTCTAGTAAAATATTTATCTCGTCTTTATACGCAAACAGCCAAAAGACACTGTATTGAGATTGGGGATGGAACAGAAATTACAGTAGTTTAATTAACTGATTCTGACTATTATTTTCGAATGAATAATAACATTATTTATTTTAACTATATTCATAAATTATTTTTTTTTGTGACTACATAATCTACATATAATGAAATTACGACCGAAGGTATAATCATTTCATGTATCACATGTAGACACTATGACAGGTAAAATTTTAGACAGATTTAATTAGTAGAATATTAAGTCCATTTTATTGCCATGTAGATCTTTTATGAAGATCAATTTGTCCATTTTATTGCTGTTGATTAATTATGCAAATCCTTAGATGTCAATTTTATTGCCTTTGATAATTATGTAGATCATAGATATCTATTTAGTTGCCTGCAGATCTGGCAATTTTATTGATAAGGCAACTTTATTGCCTAACAAAATAGCAACTTTATTTCCTTCGATATATTCAGTTTAGTTTATTTTATTATTTATTCAACATGTATAAATACCTCTGTATTTTCTTTGAGTCTTAGCATTGATGAGATGTTAATCTTTTAGGTACTGAACTTATATATTATATTAATAAAGGAGTATAATTAACCAAGTACAAAACTTATCCTTCGCAAACCTCTTTGAAACTGTTATAAATTATCTGTGACCCTTTGTTAGTGAACTTATTATATGATATTATATTGATTTGCTATATTGACTTGGAGTCTCTGAAGCGTAATCTCTGAAATATCTTTGAATTAACTTTGAGTTTATTTTGTGTTTATCTCATGTGATTTATATTGAAAATAACTCTTCGACGTTATTGTGAATCCTCACCCGTGATTCTTTAAGTAATTGTCTTAGTCTTATTTACCCTTTTGAGATTTTATTTAAAACCACGAATCTATCATGACAATACTATGTATGATCTGCCTATTCTGAGTTAGATCTTCTAATCTATTTTAATAAAGTATTTTTCAAGAAGTTCAAAAAGATCAATGAAGCGATTTTGGAGATTCTTGATTGCGAAACAATATAACTATCAGTTTGAGAATTTCTATGCAACAGTTATTCAGCAAGCTTATAAGAATTACAAGAAAAGACCTGAATCTTTGGCAAAATGAGTTTAGGAGATGGTGAGAAATAATAGTACTTCTGATGATATGAAGTTTTTAGGTATAAAAAATATATCGGGAAAATCAGGATATATTTGTTATGAAAATAAGAGACATTGTTATCCAGTAAGAAATGATTGGATATATGAGAAGAGAGCCCAATAATGGCAACGATTATCTTTTGCAATATTCATACTTGTTAAGAAATAATTATATCAGCAAAGCTATATAGTTATTAAAGATATATATTGGCTTGACATGTTAAAATGGCTACAGAATTCTAAATATTATAGTATTCATAAAATAATATACTGTCCAGTCACGGTAGGAGAACAGTGTGCAACATAAATTAGCACATTTTTGATCCTCATTAAAATATATATGATGTAATATTGAGATCTTCAATGCATATTTCGCATGCCCTTATTCTCAAAAAATAATTTGGCGTAAAGTGCTTTGCATATTTCTCCTATCTCTTTTTCAAATATGAAGAGAATGAGAAATGGTGGCATTTAAAAAGGCAGTATGAAAAATTTATGTTCAGGTTGCTTATTCTAAATTAACAATACTAAACTATGTCTTCTAAACTATATTCGAAAATTTACAATTTTTTAGTAATTACTAAGCAAAAACACATTACTGCCACCTCGGTCATTTATCAAGGAATAGAAGAAGATCTCTGGATTTCATAAAATGATTTAAAAGCATTGTAAACTAAGCTATAGGGTTTGCTAGTAATCTTTATACTGAAGAACCTTTGCGTTAATTAAAACTTCTCCAAATACTTTCTCAGGTTAGTTGTAAAGCTTTACTAATATTTCTTTTTTACTAAATGATAATATTATGTGATATACTCGTATAAATGAGATCTAAAATGATAGTGTATTCATCCTATTAGCTTGCATCTAAAGGAACTATTTTTGAATTACATGGAGGATGTATAAACTATTGCTTGTATTTTAATCATTCCATTAACTCTGCTACAGGAATATTTCTTGATGCATGAGGGTGATTAATCCG